CCCTACTGCAATCTTTCTTCAAACCTAACGAAACTAGTAACCATAAAAACTCCACTTAACTTTTATATTCTAACATAAAATTCATTCTTCCAAATGAGTATTTCATCAACAAAAATATTCCACAAAACATATTTCATTCAAGAATCCAAATGTAAATTCTAGGGTTTACCCAAAATAAAATTTCCTTACCTTGATGTAAATGGATGACAATCACTCAAAAACTTGAACTAACTAGGGTATATCTTCAACTTAATCTGAAAAATTAAACCACTCAATTAAAACCCTAGAAATTTAACATAATATACTTCATTCATCTTATGAAGAAATGGATAATTTAGACCTAAAATTAGGGAAAATAACACTTATCCATCACCCTTCCTCTTCCTTTTCCTTCCTCTTTTTCCCTTTCTTTTCTTCTTCTTTTCCCTTTTTCTTTTCTTTTTCGGTCTCTTTCTTCTCTACTGGTTTCTTCCCTATTGTGTGAGTGTAAATGAATGAGAAAATGGGTTTGGATTTATTTAGATAGTGGGCTTTTTGCAAGAAAGTCCCTCAACTACCAATAATGTATAAGTAAGTCCTCCATTTCAATTCTAATCCATCTTAACCCTCAATTATTGCAATTATAAAATAAACCCCAAGAAATTAATTTATTCCAATTAAGTCCATATTTGACCTTGACTTGGACAATTCAACTATTGACTTTTGACTAAAAATATGAGATGTAACAGTGATAATAGAATGCTAGGAAAGAGCAAAGAGAGAGTGTAATAATAGAGCGATAGAAGAGAATAAATGATATATAAATTCTGTAAAAAATATTTATACCTGATTATTGAAAAAAATGGAAAATCTGATTTTTGAAATTGTATTTAAAATATAGGGTTTAGGATAATTTTCTTATCTTTACAAGTAGAATGCATAAAAAAAAAAAGTTAGTGTTATGTCTCGTCACCTAGGTTCCCACGTGGCTCAGCCTACCCACTGAAACACCATATGTCGAAACCATGTGGCATCCGACGTGGAGCTAAGTTTTATAGAGTCCATACAATATGACCCACCGAAACTCATATATATATAAAAACAAGTCTGAGGCCCCAACGAAGTGGCGAGGCCCAACGAAGTGAAATTTGAGGTTCAACTACGGTTGATGACAATCCCTGTTTGAATATCTTAAATTTATGAAATCATTTTAGAATGATTGATTGGACTGTTGTAATGAGTAAAAAGGTCCATCTCGTCAGCATAGAGCATGGGGTTGCCGCCTTCTTTTTGGGACATTTAATGCACCACAAACTAGAGGAGTCAAAATTTATACCTAAAATGTGATGCTTCGATAAAGGAGATGAGGCCACGTGTTCTCTCATCTGAGAGTTGTTATTGCACATGTAACATTATAAATATCTCCTCAATGACACAAATGAGGAGGTAATGAAAAATATTGATAAAACACGTATTGACAAAAACACAATATATTTACTCTCTTTATGATTAACTTAGTATTTTTAGTGAATGAAGTATAATCTTAGTTGTGAATTTGATTCTTGATTGATCGTTCATTATCGTATAAATTATCTCATATCTCTTGCGGGAGCCCGAACATTCATGTCTTGTGTTACAAAGCTTCTCCCACGTTCATATTCTATCAATTGTCGATAGACAATCATCCCATGCATGTTGGAATTAGCTTGAGAGAACATGAGTGAGCCCGTTATATGTTGTCCACGTCAACCGTGCAGAAAAAGAGGTCAATAGATTGACACCGTCTGAGGGAAACGTCACAATAACCATGAACGTTTCTATGACAAAAAGTTTACCGGAGAATAATTGAGCATCCCCCTTGAAAAATGATTTGTTTTTAACAATATGAAGCGCCAAAAGTTGAGAAAATTTGACAGTGGATAAAAAATGAGTTCAGATCGTAATATCCCTCCTAGGAGGGTAAGAAAAGATCCTGATGAAGAGGCTCCACGAGCTGCAGCCCATGCGGGACGACCCCACCACCACCATAGGCGTGGCGGGATGAGGGTAACTGCTCAGCTTACCCGAGAAATTTCCACTATGACAGCCGACATGAGGAATATGACCCACAAAAATATGGCTATGTAGGAACTTCTAGCGCAAATGCAAGGCCAGTGAGGACCTCGAATCCTTTTTGCACCACGGGGATTCTTCCCACTAAAAGATGAAGTCCAAAGTCATAGGTTCCCATATCCCAAGCATGCTAGAGAGGTTAGCCCTCTTGAAAGGGAAGTAGGGATTGATATTTCCTTAAATTATGCTTCAGCCGACCCACCGAAGCTCATGTTAATGAGGATGACAATTTCCCTTCTGAGTACGAGCCAGAACATAGGCCGCAAAGGTCTGTTAGTGTGTTTAACAGAATCAGCTTTGCGGAAACCAAGCACATGCCATCCCAACCACGTCATACTCTTGGGAACATGCCTCAACCTCCACCTTCGACTACCCAACTACCAGAGGAAAGGCGAGGACATGTTCCAGGCACTGCCTCGCCTAGAAATAGGCCCTACAGGAAGGAGGGTATGGCAATGGATCAAGCATGATCATCTCATCTGCCACCTAGGTATTAGGCTGAAGAGGAAGATTCGGATGAACCCCAAAGATCTTGTGAACTTGATGACAACGACGAAAACTTGCTCTTTTCACAGGAGTTGAGAAATTCTCTTGTCCCGAGTCATTATGTGCTACCAAAAATACCAAAGTTTGACGGAAGAGGAGACCCTACCAAGCATTTAAATAATTATAAAACACATGAGTTTGAGAGGTGCCACTCCGACAATCAAATGCAGAGCTTTCCATTTAACTTTAAGTGGGCCAACTGAGATCTAGTACAGTAGGATACCTCTAGGAAGCATTAGGAGCTGGTCGGAGTTCAAGAATACATTCTTGAAACGGTTTATTGTCAGCAAGGAGGGAGAGGCTCCTATCCAACGCCTTCAAGACATGAGGCAACAACTTGGAGAGACGTTGAAGAGTTTTTTTTACCCGTTTTACTCATGAGATGACATATTGCATGCAAGTCACCGATAGGGAAGCGTTATCCATGAACACTTTCTTTTGGAGGGATGTACAGAATCAAGACCCTACCAGCTACAACGCCTTAATAGAAATGATGAGGCGCGAAATCATCAACAAGGAGTTGATTGATCACCGAAATAGGGCTACCATGGGTCTTCAACCCCCTCAGAAACAACATGGAAGATAACATACCCCTCACTTAAAGGATCACCAATGGAATCAAGTCGATAATGAAGTTCCCAATTATGGACAAGCACTTGCCACAGCCACGTTGAATGCAGTACCCACACTGGCCTATGAAGAAGTAACCTCCGAAACCAATATGAGGCAAATCGATAAGGACAGCGGGCCCCCCCAAAGAGGAAGAGGTCAAGTGAGGTTCATAGCCTAGAAATAGGCTGAACACTCCTTAATATTGCACTTATCATCATTCCTACAGTCATGACACAATAGACTGTAGGGATATAGCTCAGCATCCTAGACATGTGAGCACACAAAACGATATCCTCAACAGTTAAGCACTCCACTGCTTCGGCTCTAAAAAGATGAAACTTCAGCTATCAACAACAGCCTTAGAAGTTCAGCACTTCGGCTAAAAAACAAGTAAAATCAGACGTTTCCGCATTGCAATAGGACAAAAATCAGGAGGTACGCTTTAAAGAAATTCGGCTCCAGAATAACAAATCCATGCATGACATGAATAATCATGCATGAATTTGGGGGACTATTGTTATGTCTCGTCACCTAAGTTCCCACGTGACTCAGCCGACCCACCAAAGCACCTCTGTCGAAGCCACGTGGCATCCAACGTGGAGCTAAGTCTTCTAGAGTCCAAACAATCCGACCCACCGAAGCTCATATATATAAAAAAAGTCTTGAGGCCCAAACGAAGTGGCGAGGCCCAACGAAGAGAAATCCGAAACTCAACTCGGTGACAATCCTTGTTTGAAGATCTTAAATTTATGAAATCCTTTTAGAATGATTGATTGGACTTTTGTAATGAGTGAAAAGGTCAATCTTGTCAGCATAGGGCATGTGGTGACCCCCTTCTTTTTGGAGTCAAAATTGATACTTAATATGTGATGGTTCGGTAAATGAGATGAAGCCACGTGTCCTCTCACTGAGAGTTGTTATTGTACATGTAATACTATAAATATCCCCTCAATGACACAAATGAGGGGGTAATAAAAAATATTGATAAAACACATATTGACAAAACACCATATATTTACTCTCTTTATGATTAACTTGGTGTTTTTAGTGATTGAAGTATAATTATATTTGTAAGTTTGATTCTTGATTGATCATTTATTATCGTATAAATTATCTCATATCTCTTGCTGGAGCCCAAACATCAATTTCTCGTGTTACAAAACTTCTTCCACGTTCATATTCTATTTATTGTCAGTAGACAATCATCCCACGCATGTTGGAATTAACTTGAGAGAACGCGAGTGGACCTGATATCCGTTGTCCATGTCAACCATGCAAAAAACGAGGTCAACACATAGCATGAATTTTATAAATTGCCACTAGGATTTAGTCTCAAGAATGTGCAATTCATAAGATGTACATCACTTTTCTGATTTCAGCATCAGCCACGACGTGAAGCAAATACATAGCAGCCAACACCTTGTATATGGCTTTGATTATACATATAATCGACTTCAAATTTATGGAGATTAGAGGGCTTTATTCACATCGACCACAATGGCACAATTATGCGCACTTCCATAGACTACTCACAAACATTCTAGCCAAAATAAAGAAACTAGTACTATAATTTGTAAATAATTAACCAAGATTGTTAAAGCTTTCTGTTTCCCAACTTTATTTCAAACAGAAGAAATAACCAAAAAATAAAAAAGAAAATGAACATGAAAATTCTACTGGTTCGGATATACACAAATCAATGCATAAACAAGTTCATCTCCAACTTAAATATTTTGCACAAAAAGTTGTACTCACCACACAGGCTTCTCACCAGGCAAGTAAGAAGGGGTACCACCCTCAATTTTGTTTTTCTTCTTATGAAAAACTCCACTAAGATTAGGCATAAGTACTTTCTTTGTCACAGAGGTTTTTGCTTTTTCCAATTTTCGTGTTTCCATCACTTTCTCTGCTGACTTCTGCTTTTGGATTTGGTAATTTTGTGGAGATGATTCGTAGGACTTCTCTGTTTCAGCAAGAATCCGAGATGCTGCTTCCACTGCCTTCTTTTGTTCTCGTTCATGCCACCGTCTGAGCTCTCCCTCCACCGCCTTCTTGGCTGCCTCAGCCATTTCTGCTTTCTTCAAAGCCTCCTGAGTAGCAGTTTTCATGTCCTCAATCTCCTTCTTGCTAGCCTCAAGTTTCTTGAGGGCCTCCTCTTCACTTGCTCTCACCGCTTCTACCTGAGCTATTGCAGCTGCAACTTTGAGTTCTTCTAACTTCTGAGATTCTTCAACCTTTCGGCTTAACGACTCGAATTCAACTCTTGATATTGTGATCTGCGCACTGGGCTCTGAAGTCACGGCACGCGCAGCATCAGTTTTCTCAGACAGCAACCTGATTTGATTGAGGGCTCTAGCCTCCGCTGCCTTCAATTCTTCGGCTTCAATCAGTGCAACTTTTAGCTTAGTTTCTGCTTCTTCTAGCTCAATTTTGGCTGCTTCTGCTTCTTTCTTAAGTTCTTCAGCATTGCGCTTCATCTCTTCAACTTCATGCCTAGCATTTTCACTCTCCAATGATAGCTGGTAGATGGTAGAGATCATTTCATCAGAAACACCACTTAATTTGGCTTCTTCTGCAAGGGCTGCTTCAAGTTCAGACTTCGCTTTCCGGAGCTTGACATGCAGATTACCTGCAGTGGATTCAGTTCCGGATTCTTTCTCCCTCAATTCTAAATGCTCTTTTTTCATGTTTTCCAGTTCAATCTTAAGGGTCTCCACTAGGCTTCTTAGAGAGTTTTCATCTTCTGCCACTTTATGTAGAGATTCCTTGGCATCATTCAACTCCAAGGTAATGGTCCTCACAGAATCAAGATCTGAAGCCCTTGCTTTTCCCATCTCTTTTTGTAGAGCTTCAATTTCTGATGTCGTTTCCGCCAGTTGAGTCTTCAGATTCTTGTTAACTTCGGGATCAAGACCCTTCTTCAAAGCAAGCAATTCTTTAGCCAACTCCTCAAGTTTGACTTTATATGACTGCTTCAGCTCATCCTTGTCGGCATAGATCTTTGCTTCCTCTTCCCGTGCTTGTGTACTAGCAAGCTTCACCTGCTGAATCGACTCCTGTAAAGTCAGAATTTCTTTGGTTAACTCGCCATGCCTTTCCATGTTCGTTTTAGCAGAATTCTCAGCTTCCGCTGCTTGCTCGATGGCAAGAATTTTAGCTTCCGCAGATGCATTATAATCCTCCCAGATTTTCCTGAGTTCTTGCTTTACTGCATCAAGTTCAGCGACTGCATCTGTATATTGAACTCTAGCAGTTTCCAGTTCTACCTTTGCAGATTCATCATTTCCTTCAGATTTGCTATTTCTCGTTTCTTCAAATTGCTTTGCCTGATGCTTAGCTGCTTCCATTGCCCTAACTGCTATATCCTTCGATTCATTATGAGTTTTCAGCTTCAGAGTCAGATCTTCAACAGTCCTTTTAGCTCTTTCAAGCTCTTCAAGGGCCTGTGCTTTCGTAGTTTCAGCATTTTTCAGTTGTTCCTTCAACTTATTCAACTCTTTTTGGGCCAGGTGAAGCTGAGTCTCCTTTGCCAGCACTCTCTGAAAAAAAATAAAAAATAGTAGGATCACAAATATACTTGTATACTGCGGAGGATAGTGATATGTCATTGTTAAACACAAAATATTACGAAGTCACTTAACCCAAAGACTGTTCCATGCAGGACAACCTCCGAGAAAGATATTAGCTTGTGTGCGCATGTATATTACTAGACAGTAAATATGGATGTCAAAAATAGCTTTTCTTTGTTCCACGACATTAAGATTCAGTAATTGGTTGTACATAATAAATGTATGTTAACAGAAAATCAACTACCATATACATCCCAAAAGTGGAAATGAAGACACATAATTTATTAGGAAAAAATCCAATCAATCCACAGACTACAATAGAATTAGTAGAACTACTTGATGGCCAACTCAAACATCACATGCACTGCCTGATACATGAATGATACACAAATGCAGGAACACATATACTTGACCTTTTAAAACTAGTCAAGAAAATGGAAATTGTCATGAAGTAAAACTTCTAGAAAAGAACAAAAATTTGAACAGCTACATGCAATAAGTGGTGCCGACCGACGTTACTTTTTCTCCAATTTCCCCTTTAAATTACTTTCTTAAAAATGTTGCTAATTTTGATCAACCAGAAGTCTTCTATTAAAGAAATAATTAGCAAAGGAGCCTCAAGAGTTGATATATTGATCATGTGACTTCCCTAGAAACTATAAGACAAAGCCCTTGTTTGAGCCCCATTTCATCAAAAAATCATTTTTTCATTACTCATTTTCAACCACGCATTTTCCAATAAAAAAAATTACACGTAAATCGAAAACTTTTTCTTCATTTTTAACCACACATTCGTCAAAAATCACTATTCAAAAATGCATTTTTTTCTCACAAAATGGGGCTCAAACAAGGGCAAAATGTATATGCACTTAAACAGAATAATGGTGCACAATCAATACCGAATATCGAGCGTGAGCTTATCTAACAGAAAACTAAAAATACTTGACTAAAACGCCTCTAGCATGTTCGATAAGGTAGAATGGACATTATTGGATAGTCTTATTAGAAAGAAAAAAAAAACTGAAACCTAGTCTGTTTTAAAGGCCAAATGTTGTCAAACACCACATACCAAAGATGTCCCACATGTTTTGAAAGGGCAATATATTGAAAGTAACATAATAGTCATCCGGTCCATATTTTTGCCTATGAAATTACAACAATATGTTGCATCCTATGTCCAAAAAATGCAAGTTGACTCTACATGTTCCAAGGTACAGTAATTTAAATGAAAATTTATCACGGTCAACAAAGGGAAGGAAATAAAAACGAATCCTACATACTTCTGCAGAATGTGGTTTTGTCTTCTTAATGGCAGGTTTTTCTCCTGAAAAAGCACCTTCGCCAAATAAACTGACGGCGTCTTTAACAGATTGAAATGGGGCACTGGTATCGATCTCTCCCACCTCTGCTTTAGCAGATCCTTTGGTTTTCTGATGGTCATTTGCAGCCATATTTCTTATCAGATTGTTACCTGTGAAGAAAGCCAACAAGAGACAATAGTGACAAAAGGGGGAAAAACAAAGAATAACCAACAAACAGATCGCAAGTGAATGAACAAATAAAATCATACTAGGCGATCAAGGAGAAATAAAGTTGCTTTTGTGGAAAAAATATATTAAATGGATCACCACGTAGATAGTCAAAGAAGTAGTAAATATAATCCAAGCACCAAACCTCATGAATTGTCTCGCAAGAAGTTGTTATCAAGCATTGAAGGATCAAAATATAGATTTGAGACAGATCCATTGCAATTAGCAATTATCAAACAAATTGCATATATTGTTCACATTTTACAAATTTGACTCATCGAAACAGTACAAAAGAGTGGATGGCATATATCCTACTCAAAAGGAATACCAATCCAGAACTTCTATAGAAAAAGAAACTAGAACAGATCGGTCAAAAAATAACTTCATTATCGAAAGAACAGAAGACTACTGGATGCCGAACATCCATTATGACCCTCAATACACCATCCCTTTTTCCTCAGAGACCTAGTAATCATAATCCACATTAATGCATCACTACTATCCATTTCTATCATCTATTTGACAACATAGCTTTAGAGATAACATTCCATGAAGAATTATATTGATGAAATTCCTCAGAAAATCATGGTAATTCTTTTTCTGATGAAGACGAGTGCCCAACTTCAAGAAGACTTATGAAAATAGATCTACTAGCCTTACTTGGGATACAGAGCATGAAACAAAAATTAATAATTTTAGATTTCATTAGTGCAGATACTATTTCATTCTTACAACATCATGGCATATACACTGCCGATTATAGGCTAGTGAAATATACAAAAGTTGTTCCGACGGTATGAGAAGATGTATAACAAGCAATATACCGTGATAAATAAATATTCATGACAGAAAATGGGAAGAGTAAACATTTTCTTGCAGTAACTTCAAGAATCAAGACACTTCCCTCTCATTACGTTTTCGAATTCATAAGGTGAATAATAGTTGAGAAAACTTCAGAAGTCTTCAATCACCAAAAGATTTATTAAACCCAGGCAGAATTTTTTTTATCACCAGATAGAGAAAAGATATCTCATAATTCCATTTGCACGTTAGGCAAAATAAAGTCCACCATAACTGAAGATCAAAAACTACGCAGCATAGTTTACCTGAATATTTGTGCTTCTTTAGAATTCTTAATTCTGAACTCTGCAAAGAATAATCAAAACAAGAACCCTGTATTCACATGAAACTGAATAATCATTTAAAACAACTCACTGTACATGCAAATGCGACAAGCAATAGAAAAAATAATAAACCAAGACAAGGGCAGAAGGTAATAAGTACTAACCACCAATAATAGGTCGCTTAAAAACTCTAATCATGTAATAAACCCTAGAAATCATCAAAACTTTCAAATCCTAAGAGGGTTTCCCCAGTGCAGTAAATTCTGATGAAAAACAGTCAACATTCTTGATCAGCTTCACCGATCTTCCTCAGTCTTCCAAAAGTCAAACCCCTAACCAGAATCTCTCAAAACCCACACAAACTGCCCCAAAGAACAATCAAGACTCTGCAACTCCAAAAACCCTCCAAGAAAATCACCTCACAGTGAAAAAGAAGGATAAAAAAATCCTTTTTTTCAAGAAATTCAAAAACCACAGTTTGGTTGAATCAAAAAACTGACACGGGTTTCTGAAAAAATGATTTTGAAAGTTCAAAAACGAGTGTATCCTTTTATATTTGGCTTAAAGACAAAATCTACATCACATGAGCATATAAGAGAGGAGAGCAGTGTCACGCCAGCAATTGCACAAAAAGTAGAATGAGATGGTACTTTAATGCATTTGAATACTTGGGCTTTTTGGTCATTGATTAGAAAGGAGAACAAAAATTAGTTCTCGGCATGTCCCTCTCTCATATACAGACATTTTCTTGAATAGTAAAATATTCAATTGGATTCTTTTCTTTGTACTGCCATGCCTAATTGCTTCACCTGTGACAGGTCAAGATCTGAGTCCGTTGGATTTGGAGGTTTGTAATTTCTTTTTTTTTTTTTTTTTGAAAAGGAGGTTTGTAATTTCTTGATTCAAGCATTAAAGCGTTTTGTGTGTGACACTATTTTTGTTATCTAAGTGTGTGTTTGTCTAAGTTTTATTAACTTATTAAATAAAAAAAAAAATTTCTAAAAATTAATAATATTTTCTAATAAAATTGAATAATGCTATGTAACCCTACTGGAGTTATAATCTCATTCTAGATAGCGTTGACATTAAATGATGAGTGAAATTAAATGACTCATTTGATTTAGCATATCATTTAACGCCACCTAAATTGGGGTTGCAACCATAATAGGGCTAAATAGCATTATTCAATAAAATTTGATTTTTTTCCATAACTTGCTTATTTGACATGCTTCCTGCACAATTAATGTAGGATTTTGCTACTTGTACATAAAAAAATGTATATAATGAATTACATAATATGATGTTAAAGAAATAATTGAATGAAAAAGTTGACTATGTTTTAAATTGACAAATTGTAGAGTGACGTGTGACGTTATGTAAACATGACGCCCTTAAGATATGCAAGTTGAGCGATCACACAGACCTCATCATTATAGGGGCACAAAAAATTGGTTATTTATGTATATATATGTATAATTATATATATTTAAAATATTTATTAATTCTAAAATTTGAAATTTTAATTATTATATTAAGTTAAATGGCACAATATTTATGAAAAAAGAGTTAAAAGATAGACAAATGATGAGTTTTCTATTGTTGTATTTCTTATTCCTAATTAAATATCATATCAAGACATTTTTATTAAAGGAATGGAAATAATTCAAATGGTTTACTCATTCATAGCTAATTTCAATGTGCTGAACTTAACTATTTACATTTATGGATTATTTCTTTATTAATTGTAAGCATTTGATTTGGTATGATATGCAATTGCATAAGATACTAAATCTAAAAATAATGTAATTGACAAGTTATAATTTTTTCAAATATAATTTTTTCGAATATAATTTTCTTAAATAGTATCATGCTTTAAATAATTTGAGGGAAAAGAGGATAAAACATAATTCGTAGGAAGAAACATTTTGATGAAAATGCTACTGTAGAAAATGCACAATCACTTGAAAATTCTTTCATAGCCAATTGTTTCCTTATATTGTAGATCAAGCCATTTGATCACTTGAATGAAGGCTCAATCAATTCAATTCAATTCATATGAAAAAAAATAAAATTGGATTTCTATTTTCTTCTAACAAGTTAAACACATTGGATGATACTAATTTGAAATCATGTTGTGATCATCTTGACATTGTTCTAAGACATGTAAAAGTTTGCGATCTGATGGCAAAGATTTGTTTCAAGAATTAAAAATAATCTTTTACCAAAAGAAATAAAGACAATTTTTTATATATTGACTTATTTAAAAAGATTGGATCGCTTTTCGAATATATCTATTACTTATAGAGTATTATTAACAATTAATCTTACTATTGCATTTGCCGAAAAAAGTTTTTCAAAATTGAGTTATTAAAATTTTATCTACAATCAACCATGTTACAAAAACGATTGATTGGCCTATCTTTGATATCTATTGAACAAGATTCGTTAGAACATATTGATTACGAAAGTTTAATTAGTGAGTTTGCTTCTAGAAATGTAAGAAAAAAATATTTTTACATGATTTGTTGTATTTCAAATTTTACACGAGATATTTGATGTTTCTGATTTTAACGTTTGCTCGTTGAATTGCACAAACAATTTAGTGGCATGGATAGTTGTTTGTTGATGACATGGATTTTGAAGAAGTTTAAGAGGTGCTCTTAAACTTTATTTGTACGTTTCTTATTCACGATATTTAAAAAAATAAATAGTATTTAAATATCATAATTTTGCGATAATATAATATTATAGAAAAATAGAAAATAAGTAAAAATAAATAAACTAATCCGAAATAAATTTTTATACTAGAAATTCATTGTTTAGAGTTGGGATGGCAAGTCGTTTTGTCTGTCTGCACGGGAAATGGAGAAATTGGGAATACTAAAAAATGAAAGTGAATAATTAATAACTGAATGTAGTGACTACTGAATCACTAATTTGCCCTGGTGGTCCGTGTCTACTGTGCATCAATAATGCTATGTAGTCTCAGTGAGATTGCATCTCCAGTCTAGATGACATTAAATGATTGGCTAAATGATAGGTGAAATTAAATGACTTATAATTTCACTTATCATTTAGTGCCACATTAACGTCACCTAGAATCCCAGTGTGGATGAATAGCATTGGGATAAGTAAGTCTCAACCTCATTACTCAGGGACAGTATACCCAATTTTTTTTCTTTATAGTAATTTTCATATATAACCCTCTCTTTTTTTGAATTTTTTTGATATATTAGCAAAAAAAAACAATCTATTTCTCAAATTATTGTTCTACATTTTTCTCATCAAACCATTTCTTACTTTTTTCTTTTTCTTTTTCTCCATTATGAAATGCATTGTTTCACCTTTCTGTAATAAACGTGTTACACTTGTAACAAATTGTTTTATGCACTGTTGTCATTGCCATCACCACCGATGCTATGACATTTGTGTAACACTTCTAACAAGTTGCATTATGCCTTCGATGTCGCTTCCAATATTGCTGCCAACGTCATTACATAAAGTACGCAAAACAAATTATGTTACACGGTTGACATCGTTGTCACGTTCCATCTACCATCGTTGTCATGTTCCATCTACTATCGTCGTCACCGATCCACTGTCATCATAAGAAGTTGTAGAGGCTCAAATTTCAAATCTTTTACCGTCACCTCCCACCACCACATCCTTCCACCTAGAAACGATTTCGAACGTAAATTTCCAATTTTCGTCAGCACAATCACTACCACACACTGACACCCATATCCTAAAATCTCACCACCGTCAAACTCGTGCATCGATCAATTTTGGCATAGAATTTGAGCGGTTCCTTGCACGAATGTCAAATTTGGAGTTTCATGGAGATTACAGAATTTGGCTATCACCGTAGATGTGGGTATTTGGAAATATGGATTTTTGGAAGAAAATGAGTGGAAGATCATATTTTTTGGAAAAATACAACGTAAATAGTAAAAATGGAACTTATAAACGAAGCATGTTAAATGACATAATTTTATCCTCTTTATTAACATTAACGATTCAATTCATTTTTATTATATGTCGAAACATGAATAGTTTGATCTTATTCCAAACCAAAATATTGATATGTCCATGTAGATTAAGTGAGTCCACTAACAAATCATTTGATAAAATGTATACGATTTCAGAAGTGAGACGTGTATCATAAATCACAATTGAAGTTTAAATAAAAAGATTGCACGTGTTTATTGCTCAAAATCTATCATGAAAATAATTCCAAACAAATAGAACTAAAAAAAAAAAAATCATTTTAGGATACAAATTAAGGGCGTGTTTGATGGGTATTATTGTTAAAAGAATATATTTTAAATAGTGATATGACGAGAAATATGTAGGCTCAAAAATTAATAAAATTAAGCCCCCGTTTGGTGCACATTTTGAAAGTAAAAATACAATTTCACTGTTTATATGATGGAGAATATGTGGTTGAAAAAGAAGGAAAAATTATTGATTTGATGGAAAATATTTTTTTATTGAAAAATGTGTGGTTGAAAATGAGTTTTGAAATAATAAATTTTGAAAGAATGTGCGTAATCCTATTGAAATTAAAAGTTTGAGTAATGTTATTCATCCCCAGTGGGATGAAAACAGAGTCTATGCGGTTTTAAATGATAGGTTAAATGAAAGGTGAAATTAAATGATTTATTTAATTTCACATAATATTTAATGCCACATTAACGCTACGTAGACTGTGTTTTCATCCCAATGGAGATGAATAGCATTACTCTAAAAGTTTTTCGAGTCACATAAATTTTCTTTAATATGTTTGACACTAAATTAAAATTTAGATAATATTATGTGACTAAACATTTGACATTTCTGTCTATGCATGTGGGCAAATCACATTTTTGTTCCTTTTCTTTCTGTGGTAGGTACAAAAGGAAAAGACCAATTAAATGGTAGCTATTTTCTGTTCCTCGTCTTTGAGTAAGAATCTGTATTGTGTGATGTGACTCTGACCCCAATCCCCTCGTCGTCCAGTACAATTTCAATATTCTTTTATGAGATATGATTCATTCAATACTGCAGTGAGTGAAGTGAAGTTTGAATGCATTTACATCATCCACTTTGGATTTATTACAGACATTTCAAAGAAATAAGGCGCATCAGATGGTTAATCTTCTTACGTTCAACGTAGGTATACTTCTGATTCATCTTGATAAATCAATTTTATTAAGTCCTGTTTGAGACATATTCTTTCAAAATTCATTTTCAACTACACATTATTCAATAAAATAATATTTTTCATCACATCAATAACTTTTCTTACTTCTTAACCATATATATCTCATCATATCACTATTTAAAATACATTTTTTCTTCAATAATATTCATCAAACACCCCTCCTTTGAGATTAACATGCGTGATTCATTTGATCAAATCAATTTTGAAATTGAATTTGCTCATTTTTTGGTCTTAATCCAATCAGATCGAATTGCTTGTTGAAATTTACTGAGCCTGTATTAAGACTCGGAAATCCGTCTTAAAAGGTTAACCTACAAAGAAGAGTAATCCAAGTTGATCTATATTTTCATTTTTATTCAAGGGGAGATTCGACACTATTTGACCAAACAAGAATACTAGTCATTGTCCAAAGGTGATGTATCTATCTATATATTTATATATAGAAAGAGTGAAGATGGAAAGTTAGATGGAGAGAAAATTAGAGAAGATGAGTGCAAATGGAAATCTGGCTTTGTTTGAGACAAAAGCAGGAAAGGGGAGAATTGTTTTTAAGCTATTTTCTTTAACAATACTGTTGTGTATTTTTCTGATATGGTTGTACAGATTAATGTATGTACCAAGGAAAGGAGAGGCAGGAAGATATGCTTGGATTGGGATGTTTATTTCTGAGGTTTTGTTTGGTTTATATTGGATCATCACTCAGATAGTTCGTTGGAACGTTGTTCATCGGTATCCCTTCAAGGATAGACTCTCTCGCAGGCAGGTTCCATATTAATTTGCTACCAAGTATCGAAGTTTAATGATTTTGTTTTCTGTTGTTTTTCGTCCATTTAGTTAGACCAACTTAGTTGCTTCTGAACCTATGCCAAACATTAACAAAGTCACATTTAAGCATAGCATATATGTTTCCGTAAGTATATCAAGTATGATTGGTTAAGCTTGATAAATTTGCTTATAAGTAAATAAGTAAGTGTGTTTCCAAATTCATAACATCTTTTGTTACATTTTGTCAGCCTTAGGATTAGGTTCAGCCCTTCCTCTTGCCTGTTGGTATTATTGGATAAGGTAGGTTGTGTCGCTTCAACTTGGATATACGGGCTGACCTCATGTCCTGGTGCTCGTTGCATGCTGACTCTCTCTTGTTCGCTTAGTTTGTGTTTGGCTAACACGCCACGACGTGTAGCAAATCACAAAACAAGTGATATTGTAACACGCCGTGGCCCGTGGCGTGTACCCAATCACAGAATAAGTAATATTGGAGACATATCCGTGGGAGAAACTTCTGCTTATTTTCCTAAAAGCAAGCAACTGTTGCTTAAATTGAACAATTAATTTTATGTTACACGCTCTGATCTTCTGTTACTTTTTTTAATCCAATTTCCTTATTTGTGACTTGAATATGTTCCCATCTTGCAGATACGAAGACAAACTGCCAGGGATCGACATTTTTATTTGCACAGCAGATCCTATATTAGAGCCTCCGTCAATCGTAATAAACACAGTCTTATCAGTAATGGCATACAATTATCCACCTGAAAAGCTTTGTGTTTACCTCTCTGACGACGGGGTTTCAGAACTTACATTCTATGCTCTCTTGGAGGCCTCTAAGTTCTCAAAATATTGGATACATTTCTGTAAGAAATTTGCAGTTGAACCAAGGTCACCCGAATCCTATTTCGCGCTCAATATTGATCTACACGGTTCAGTCTTCGAGCAAGAATGGAGCACTATCAAGGTAACAATCCATATTCTACCTGCAATGCTGATACTAATTTGAAATGACTTTCTAATTGACATTTGTTCTTGATTCTCTTTTCAGAAACTATATGAAGATATGAAAACTCGAATCGCTTCAGCTGTTGAAAAGGGTCACCTTTCGACTGAAATAAAGGGCCAACATAAAGGGTTCTCAGAGTGGAACTCTAAGGTCACAAAGAGAGATCATCAATCAATTGTTCAGGTAAATAATCCACATTCAATTTCAATTGTTCTTCATTTTCATGTTACACTGTCAAAAATATGTATGTAACTCATAGTTATTCTCTTCAGGTTTTAATAGATGGATGGAACCCGAACACAGTTGATATAGATGGAAATCCATTGCCAACACTCATATACCTGTCCCGTGAAAAGAAACCACAATGTGCACATAATTTTAAGGCTGGAGCTATGAATGCACTGGTAATCAACTTTTAGGTGTTTCTTCTTCTATCTACCAAACAAATTTTGTTCATTTCATAAATGTAACATCAAATGGCCTCATCTCTTTAATTTAAACCTTGAATAAGTTCGTGTAAACTATAACAGAAAGGTGGAAAACCCGAGTTCTATTTACTCATTGTAGTTGAATAATCAGTTATATCGTGCAGATACGTGTGTCATCAGAAATAAGTAACGCGCCAATCATCCTCAATGTGGATTGTGATATGTACTCAACTGATCCAGATGCAATACGAGATGCCTTATGCTTCTTTATGGATGAGAAGCAAGGGCAACAGATATCCTATGTTCAATATCCACAGAGCTATGAGAATATTACAAAGAATGATATTTATTCAAATGCAAGATTCCCAGTTCTTAAGGCATGTCTTCCAATCGCGCTGAGAATTTCTTTTCCTCACTTTCTTTGCTTTTGAATATAGCAGTTTCTAAATTTGATCTGCCGCTAGCAGCAATTTTTGTTAGAAGATATAAACATTTCAAGATAGAAATTCTGAAACGAGTAAATATAACTTGTATAACGGTTTTTTCAAAGAACTACAAACTGGAAGTCCCTATTTTAAACAAGATTGAGCTTGCTGAGTTACTGAAATGTTCCATATCTATGACATTTCGTGGACTGAACTTTTTCAATCTTTCTTATGAAGATTGACTTTGCTGGGTTCGATGGTCATGGTATTATGCCATATATTGGCACAGGATGTTTCCACAGGAGAGAGAGTCTTTGTGGAAGGAAGTATTCTGAAAATTGTAGTGTTGAATGGAATGATGTGAAAGATACTATAAAAGGAAGAACGATAGACGAATTTGAGGAAGCTGGTAAACTTGTTGCAAATTGTAGTTACGAAAAGGGCTCTCAATGGGGAAAAGAGGTTTGTTTTTCTCCTTTTATGCTGATATATGAAGCATGTTTGGCCGTGCTTAAAAGCCTAGCATGCTGATGGTCTAATTCTAGATCGGAAAGTATTGTAGCATAGCATTCATGGATTTTGTAAAATGTGCAGATGGGATTAGTGTATGGATGTGCTACCGAGGATATGGTAACAGGCTTAACAATCCAGTGCAAGGGATGGAAACCTGTTTATTACAATCCAACAAAAAGGGCATTTCGGGGTGTTGCTCCGACAACCTTAGATCAACATCTTGCACAGTACAAGAGATGGTCTGAAGGCCTGTTTCAGATATTCCTTTCCAAGTATTGTCCCATAATATATGGACATGGAAAGATCGGATTTAGTGCCCAAATAGGACATTGTCTGTACCTTTTATGGGCTCCTGTTGCACTTCCCACACTATATTATGTGGTCATTCCTGCTCTTAGCCTGCTCCATGGCGTGCCGTTGTTCCCAAAGGTATGTACTTCGATCTCCCCATGTTTGCATGTTGGTTTAAAAATTGGCATGAAAGGATGCTCGAACAAACATAGGTTGGTCTGAAAATCCTTAGCAAACACGAAGAAGTTTATCAAGTTCCTCTAACATCTCATATCTACATTCCAGGTATTTGGATTATGGTTCCTACCATTTGCATATGCATTTGTTGCAAAAACTGCTTACAGCTTAATAGAAGGCCTAAGAAGTGGCAACACATTGAAGGGATGGTGGAACTTTCAAAGAATGTGGGTTTTTAGGCGAACAACATCATATTTCTTAGCCTTCATCGACACAGTTGTCAGGAAATTAGGATTCTCTGAAACAGGATTTGCAGTCACTGCCAAGGTGGTGGATGATGATGTTCTAAAGAGATATGACCAAGAAATCATGGAATTTGGAAACTCATCTGTAATGTTTACTATTATTTCAACACTTGCATTGCTGAATCTTTTCAGCTTAAGTTGGGGAATCAAGAAACTTGCTTTTGGTACAACATTTGGGGCATTGGAAAATTTAATCCCACAAATTATTATTTGTGGATTAATGGTTATGGTGAATTTACCAGTTTATGAAGCTCTATTCTTTCGGAGGGACAAAGGAAGTATACCATCTTCAGTTATGTTCAAGTCTATTGTCATAGCATCAATGGCAGTTCTCATGCCTATTTACTAGAGCAGAATTTCTGTTAGAGCATGTTTGGGAGTTATTAAAATCCAATTAAAATTGAAAATAGCCGTTATTGGATCTTACTCGTCTAATAAAAGTCAACAATAACGACTAGTTTTACAATTTTAATCATATTTTAATATCTACCGAACACGCCATCTTTTGAAGTTTTATCAAAATGTAGCACAAGTTATTGAGCTTCCACTGTCTTCAAGTTGTAGCTAGAACCTTAAGTGTTATGAAATCTACAATTCAGAATCGGCTTAATTGATTCATACTTGGAAAATTGCACCTCCCAATTTATTGATGCAGTGATGAGTTAGTCCTCAACTTTTCATTGTAGTTACAAACTTGTCCTCCAATATCAGAAACTCTTTCAAATTTATTAAGCCTCCATTTGACTATTTTATACGTGATTTATAAATTCTTTATAAATCAATCACATATTTCGATACGTCGGTATCGAGAAATCTAATGAGTGGCATGTTTTTACCAAGTAAAGTGGATGGTTATCATAATCGAGGACAAATTGTTCAACTATAATTAATGACAAATTAGAATCAACATGCTATGAATATTTGCATAACAAAAACACAAAAAAAAAATAATATGACGAGTAAATAAATCATTTTACATCCTTTCAGCGAACTTCTTAAACGGAAACCATTATTTGAGATGAGATGTGTTAATTAAAGGAAAGTTGAAAGTAAGATTGCGACGAAAGAAAAAGTTGGAGGACATAAATTAATTACAATGGAGTGATGTGATATCAATAGTACAACCACGGATAGAGGGACGGGTCTTTAAAATGCCAAAAAGCTATCAAGAATCATAGTCCATTACAATGAAAATACCTTAAATCAAACTGACATGAAAGAAACGTAATCTACGAGCAAACGAATCCTAGAATGACTGATATAGAACAAATAATATGCCTGCAAAAGAAGTCATATAATAAGAAGCTACAGCGAGCTTGGTGGTTGAACTGATTCCCGGCGGGCCCCAATCGTCTGAATCCCAACTATCATCTCCGCTTGATCGTGGAGCCGGCGCCGGTGAAGGAGCGGACTCCGGCGACTCAACTTCAGAAGGGTGCATTACACGAACAATAAGCCTTTGGCCAGATTTGCAGTGCCCAGACTGGCCACTTATGAAATAAAAGAACCCCGAGCGGTCAAATTGGAAAATCGTGTTTCCATCGTGGAATTTGGTGATAGGATTTGATGTGTTGCAGTTTAAGTAATCCTCAGAATTCACCACCAGAACCGAGTCCTTTTGGTACTTGAAATCTGAAAACAAAAGCAAATTAAAGAACCGGACATATTTGGTACGCAGTATCAGAATATGACAAAGGAGATAATTTAATTGAACTTACAAAGAGTATCTCCAATGCGGAATCTGTTTCTAGCAGCCCACTCATTGTAGGTCTCAGGCTCATTTCCAGTTGGTGTAGCCCAACCTGTCTCTTCCCCAACTTCAAACTCGTAAGAAATTACAGAGATGATGAGTGAGAAGAATAAGGCATTTTTCAAGATTTTGGAGGTAACTGCAGTACTTTTCGAAGCCATTAGAGAGAGTTTAGAGTTTGCAATTTGCTTTCTTTCTTTCTTTTTTTCGAAGTGGCCAAGAATTGAGTTTGAGATTTATAGTAGTAGGACTAGAGAAGAGGAGACACGACAGTTAAGTCAGTTATTTTGTGATGTAAGTGGAGAAGAGGGTGCGAAGTGGGCTACGTGAGCTCTTCCATTCTCTCAAGTTAGAAAGGGTCAACTTTCCAATGGGTGGGGCCCTGGGGTGGGGTGGGTCAGGGTGACCACGTGGCAAGATAAATTACCCCAAGAATTCAGCTTTAAAAAAAAATTTCAATAAAGAACAAGATGGTCGACAGAAAGTTAAAATAGGAATGTAAATCCGGCTTGTAACATCCACAATGGAATTCAAATATTGTGTCAAGACAAAGATTGAAATCCAACTCATGCTTATAAGAGGGTTCGAGCTCATGCATGCACTCAAGACTAGAAAAACGAGCTCAACCATAGAAGTATAGTTATGTAGTTAACACATACCACGAGAGTGAACTTAGTAAAACACTACAACTTAACAAAGAAAGTTGTTAAAAATGTAGCAAGGTACGGTGTATCCACAATTTAAGGATTATGGTAGCTTATCTATGCCGGAACCAAGATTGCTCTACCTAACACTTTTGAAACACCCCCACGCCCCCCTTCCAAACCAAACTCTTGGTTGGGTTTTAATAGGAAGCACTCTGTTGAACCAGAATTTCCCCAACATAATTAACTGTAAAAATACACAAAAATTGTGAAGTATAAAGCAGTCTGATGCACACTTGAAATGTTCAATGAAATGGCATTGAACTTTGGCTAGTTTACATTCAATGTATTTGGATAATGAAAACCTAAAGAAAACCACCTAACAAAAAATAAAAGAAAATAATAGCTAGCTTCTAATCACAAAATTTAAGTTCAATAAACTTTGATTTCCAACTCAGAACCAGGCGAGCTGCATTCTTCACAATCTGAAACAATTTCCTCAATACTCAATGGCAAGCTGTTTGAGAAAATAAGACTCGGTTTCACCTTCGGCACAAACACAGGATCTGCCTCATTGTTGAGAATCTGAAAAACTCTCCTCATTGAAGGCCTTTCACTACTATCCGGATTCGCGCAACTTAGGCCTATAAGCAGCAGCCTTCTCATTTCTTCCACTTTGTATTCACCATTCATTCTTTGATCTGCTGCTTCGATTAATTTTCCTTCAGAATACTTTCTCCAAACCCAGTCCACCAAATTCACCTGTTTTCGGCTTTCATCTTCTCTCTCAATTGGCCTTCGTCCACAGGCCAGTTCAAGTATAGCCACACCATAGCTGAAAACATCAGTTTTCTCTGTTGCTGTCCCATATTGAAGGTATTCTGGAGCAAGATATCCCATAGTTCCCGCAGTAAGAGTCGAAACTGGACTCGTCCCATGATCCATAAGCCTTGCAAGTCCAAAATCACCTAATCTTGCATTGTAATTCCCATCCAGCATAACATTACTAGTCTTTATGTCTCTGTGAATCACTTGCTGCTCACATTCTTGATGCAGATAAGTGAGAACAGAGGCCAACCCCACTGCACTATTGTATCTATATGTCCATTTCAGAGGATTACCATTTTCAGATTCTTGGTATAGTACCTTATCAAGACTCCCATTGGGCATATAGTCGTAAACAAGAAGCAATTCACCTTTTTCAACACACCAACCTTGGAGCTGGACTAAGTTTTTGTGCCTCAAAGAAGCTATTATTGATAATTCCGAGAGGAATTCAGTTTTTCCTTCGTGGGTATGTTTCGATCTTTTCACTGCAGAAATAGTTCCTAAATCCAAGAAAAAGGCTTTATAAACAGTGCCAAAGGCTCCATGGCCTAAAATCCTGCTAGAATGAAATCCTCTTGTGGCTGATTTGAGTTCTTTATAACTAAACTGCCTTGGACCTGTCACCAGCTCTGCTTCGATGATTCTCTCTGATTTGATACCCTTCCATTTCTTGACAGAAATCCAACCAAATATTACAAGAACTGCGCAAAAGAAGGCCGGAAAACCAATCTCGAGACCCAAACCAATCCTCTTATGGTGCCTATTTCCTGAACCAGATACTGTAATTGGTGGCTTAAGTGGCACAGAACTATCAGAAACACTGTGAGGCTGAACTTTTGGCCTTATGGGGCGAAATCCCATAGTCCGGAAACTCCAATTCTCAATACAATGTAGTTCTGTACTCCCTTCAGTAGAAGCTGAAAATCCCACATACATAAACTCCTTAAGATAATCAGAAAGGTCAACAGCAACTCTCAAGAGAGGCTCCTCAGGCTTGAAACTTGAATAACTCAAGAAAATTTCCAACTTTTTCTTCTCGTTCTCATAATCAATCCACGCAGTAATCAGATTCCCACCCTTCAAATTGACACCTTGAATCATTGAATTTGCAGTCTTGATTGAAATGAGGCTATCTATATCCAATCCAACATGATTCTCATCAGGATCATTGAAGTGCAAGTCCTGTCTTGTATCAAATTCAATTGCAATAAACCTGTTCTTGCTTAACTCAGATGAGTTCACAAGGCCCAAGGACCCTCCAGGACTCCCTAATGGCTGGTTATTAGGAGAAAGAAAAAAGGCCAAACCATCTCCGAACGACGACGGATTAACATTATCAATGGAAAAAGAAAATCTCGTGGAGAATGAAGCAGTTATATTTGTCTCCGGATCAAAGAATGCAACTGGGTAGTTGTAGATTACAGAACCAGAGCTTGAAGAAGGGACCCCAAGTTCTCTAGTTAGCCCAATTACGCCGTTTCGGAGATAAGAATCGCCAAGAAGAGTAATGTTTCTGAATGTGAAGAATGGGAAATCAAGATTTACATTCTCTGATAACACGTAATCTGGGTAGACTGAAAGGTTAATGAGAATCAAGAAAACAAGAAGCTTTCTTGGAGACATGGTGATGTGATGATTTTTATGAGAAATATTTTGAAGATTTCTTACAAGAAGTACTCGAGTTTCTTAGAACAGGTACTTGAGTTCATGAATCAAGAAGAAAAAGAGTAAGCAATTTTCTTGGCGGGGTGGGGGTGGGGGAAACGGGGTTTAAATGGTTAAAGGAAATGGTGGGTACTTCTTTGAAGAACAAATAATTGGGAAAAGGTAAGTTATAACGGTAATATGGGTGTGCTGATTTGGAGGAGAATTTTTCAATTCTTTGGGGGGTGGGTTAGGTGTGTGAAACGACACCATATTGGCTATGCATTTCAGCATTTGTATCCAGTGTAATACTTGTAATATACTAGTCACAGGTGAACATGCGTTGTACGTTTTTTCTGAAATTCTTTATAAGTGCTGTAAAAATAATATTTGGAGATGCGTTAATATGAAAAATAGTTAAAAAATTGTTTATGTAAAATGAACTTTTTATACAATTCAATTATTTATTTACGTACATGTATAAAAATTAACATTTATTTATACATACCCTATTATAATTCAGACAATTAATTCTTCAAATTTATGTACAATTTATATATTTTGGGGCTATTCAATTACTAAGTATTACAATCGTATAGTAATTAACATTTATTTATACATATATTAAATATGACGTCAAGTCTTCGAGTTCATGAACACTTGTTTATTTTTAATATTATTCATTTAATCTATGATATAACATCTTATGTCTAAATGTATATAAATTATTAATTTTGTATATCTATTAATTCAAATTAATTAAATTCCACGTTGGTTCACTTACATATACTTTGTCTAAATATATATAAATTATTCTTTTTCATTCATTGATTCAAATCAATTAAATTCCACGTTCACGAATGTATTTTATTGTTCTCATACAATTTAATTATTTATTTACATGCATGTATAATAATTAACATTCAATTAAATACATAATAAAAACAAAAAGTAGGGATGTTTAATTTATTATCGAACGTTCAATTAAATGTATATCGAGAAACGAAAAGTAATGTATTATTGAAATAATTGAATTGTAGTAGGACTATAATCGTCCAAAAAATTATTTCTCACGCAATGCGACATTTAATATATTATAGATAATCGTAGAAGAAGATACTTTTGCTGCTTTGCATACTATCCAGTAAAATGTTCAACTTATATCTTCCCAATTTCATTCCTTGTTGATCGTATTTTGGCTTTGACACGACCTTATTTATCGCATATGCATGAAGGTTTCCCTGCTAATGGTCTTATTCTTGAATCTTGAGGAATCTTGCTCACTGCGTGGACCGTTAGAAATTGAGCTTAAACAAGTGCCAATGACACTGAGTACCATGTGATTTGGGCTCTTCTTCCCATTATATAAAATAAACATTGATTCCCTAAAAAATGAAAAGATATATACACGTAATAATCACGTGTCATATAGCCGTTACAAGGTAGAAAAAGCCCAACATGTTCAAAACATTTTCTTCCCTTTTTGTCCTTTTTGTCTAATCCTTGCCTTTTTCTTTTGTCCCAAAAAGAAATATTGATCCAATCATCTACTAACTACACCTCGACCACATGTGTCAAGTGCACTTTTTGATAGTTTAGATACGTATTGGGGATATTGTATTTTAAGAACTAATGTAACAATAGTAATGATTTAATGCATCAATATTTCTACGTAAAATCAATAACCACGATTATTTCACTAGTTTTAAAACCTTTCTTGCTATATACAGCATATTTTCCTGCTAGCATTTTATATACATAGTGGTAAATAAAACAGTACCTTTAAAAGTTTGGAATACTGCTCTAGTTTAGTACTTTCTAATTAAACTATCAATCATCTAACTAAGCATAGGGGAAAAATTTGCTTTAAGAATAGAACAAAACCATTATTTTTGCAGAGGGTGGTAGTCAACCTTACACCTTAAATCCTCATTTACTAGTACTGTACAGATTCAGATTTGAAAGTACAAAAAATGAGATTTTAACCACTTTTTCCTTTTTGACATTGTGCAGCATCATCCCACCTAGTTGCTACCATAAGCAGTGGAAGCATTCTTTGACATACTCTGCCTGTGGGCAGTTGTTCTTAAAGGCTTGTCCAAGGCTGCATATGCAATATATACATCCCTTTATTCATGAGGCTTCGCTTATCCTTCTGATTAACCCTTCCAGATTGCCATCTGCTAATTCATCTGTGAGTCGGTTATGAAATAAACAACTTTATTAGGAACAAAAACTAACTGCAATATCATACGCAGGAAAAGATATCGCTGATGAAAGGAAATCAAACTCTATAGTGGCCAAAGAAGGAAAGAATGAAATTTAGCCTTTAATTACATCAATCAATTGAAATCGGTCACAGGCCTCAATTAAAATCCAACGTGAATGAAGCTCTAACAACATATTCAGCTGAAAATAGTGTGAGACTGATTTTTTCGAAAAAAACGTTACTCAGCCTCATCTGATAGTGGTCAAGGTGCAGAAGTTTGTGCTCTTACATCCATAGGTTAAAAATGTTGTTAGTTAACTCATAGAAAAGTTATTCAACTTTAGTTGCGAAACCTTTTTTTTTCCTTTCCCTAGATTAGTCATTGAACTTTCAATATGACATGGTAAAGTACAGGGAAGAGAAAATATGAAGCTAACGAATTTTCCAATGAGTTGCTAGATATATTTTGCTAACCTATCCTACTATCACTTATTCTTCGCGTTTGTTCACCCACTTGACCAAATCATAAACAAAAATAAAGAGCATGGTAAGAAAGAACCTTATCCTGTGGAAGTCCTAACCAAAATCAATCACCAATGCTTGAAGTCCAGAGACAACAGTGAGGCAACAACTTTGTTGTCACTTAATTTTGTTGAAGCTTTCGGGGAAGGAGAACTGTACAACGCAAATTAAGGCCTTAGTCACCAACTGCAATGATAATTCAGAGAAAAAAAATCCTTCTAGCAACTACCTTCATCCATGCTACAAAAGCTTCCCTGGGGAAATATAACATCAGGGTCCATTTCTTGCTGCAAGGGTAAAACTACAGCCACAGAGCTTTTACTGCAGAAAGAATGCATAAAATTCAGGAGTTTCAATTTTCTAAAGAAAAGATTGCTTGAGTATAGAACTAGCTCAAAAGTCATTCTATGGTTCATTACAAACCAAAAGAAAAGATGAATTACATTCCTTTGTAAGTGTTCGAGGGCATATATGAAACATTATTACTGAAATATGTGGTAAACATCCAATATTGTCTGTCAGAGCAGTCCCATTTATGCTGAAATTTCAAAAAAAAAAAAAAATTATTTAGTTATTCACCTGGCCCAGTATGGTATTAATTTTCTAGAGGGTAAGTCATCTTCTTCATCTTCATCATCAGAGCACTGATATGGAGAAATATCGTACGACTTCTCTAGACACTTTTGGACAAACATGTCATCATTTATGCTTGAGTTATTCACCACATTCGTTGCCTAGGAAAGGAATGTAAAATGAAAATGTCAGTATGAAAACTTGAAAAAGAACTCCTTTTTAGCATCTTGATGAAAGTGGTTTTGACCCTAAAAAGTGCCAAGTTAAATTTCTTCATTGGCAAACTAGAAGGTGTTACAGACAATATGAATTGAATGAGACAGAAACAGAAACTTCCAACACCTTTCCAATTTCACAAGAAGCGCCACATTCTTCAAAATGAATGATAGTTTGCTGGACACCATCCATTGCAAGTCCAGATGGTACAGATTTAGTCTCTGTTTCTTTGAAAGCAGCATCATCTCCAGCTTTATCCCGGTTTTGTTGCCTTCTGAATTCATTGTTAGTCTCCTTATTGCTGTTCACTTGTTCATGCTAGAATATAACCAAGATAAGTGAGGTCATGGAAACAGGAAGCAAAAGTAATCAGGTTTACTAGTAATATAGAAAAACTTACAACTTTGAAATGCTGTTTTTCTTTCTTTGCTTTCTCAGCACACATTTTTTCTTCTTGTTCTCTCTGCTGTCTTTGCCTTACTTCAATGCGCATTCTTTTCTTCTCCTTCTGCTTCCTCTCCTCTTCCTCTCTCAGCCTTTTCTTTGCTTGCATATCAGCATCTTTTCTCTTCCTTTCCTCTTCTCTTTTTTTCTTGTCCAACTCCTTTTGTCTCATATTTTCTTTCTCCATCTTTGCTCGCTCGACTTTCAGTGCTTCTTTTCTTACCTTGCGTTCATTCTCTCTTTTTTCTTCCAAAAGCTTTGCAGCCTCTGCAGCTTCTAGAGCCTTCACCTTGATGTCTCTCTTTCCTGAAACATAATAAGTTCTAAACTATATATGAAATAGATAAATATACAAAACACACAAGTATCTCACACCCCTTCTAAACAACTTTGTAACACTCTATCCATAATTCTCAACTATACAGAACTGGAAACTTTATCCAACACCACGAAAGGAGGAAAGGTGCCAAAGAGAAGCCACCATTTATGTAATACCCCAAACCCTATCATGTAATTTGTTTGCATAATATAATAGTTAATCCCTATTATCATGTACATAAAATGATAAAAATATTTTTAGGTAAGATACTACAAGTGTTAAGCTCCTCTTAGAGCAAAAACACAAACTGAAGAAGAAAGAGAGATGCAAGGGAGTCGAAGACATGCTGCGCTAATACATATACAAAAGAAGGTAATAAAATAAAAGCATAATATAAGACAAATATAAAATGGAGAATACTTCAAAATGAGAAAGGTTCTTGATCTTGAACCACCTGAACAAATGCAATTAGTAAGTTTACTGTATCAAATTGTTTAAGAACAAATGAAATTCCTAAGAAAGGATAAACAAATATAAAGCACCAATCAAAGGAAAGAAGAAAAACAACCTGCACATACTGCAGCAGCTTGTTTTTGTCGTACCAGCGGGATAAATGAAGAGACATTTGAAACAATGTTGTTTCTCTTAGACTCCTTCAATGAAAACTTTTGTTCTTGCCTCAAACTGGTTCTGCGTGGTAAATTTGTTTTGTTGAGACTTTTTTTAAATGATTCCTTGGCCTTCCTGATTTTATTTGCTCCTATGGATAACATCTGGTTTTCCTTTGCCTCACTGTTATTTCTTAAGAGACTTTCAGATTTTTGTTTGACCTTATTTTGAATCCCAGTGAAGCTGGGTTTTGTGTTAAAATAATCCACACTATCTCTGCTCAGAGACATCTCGACTGCAGAATTTAGACTTGAATTTGTAAAATCTTTTAGTGGTTCTCTTTGAGCATAATGACTATTGTCTGATGAATCAATCTCTTCTTGGACTTCATCTGCCTCCTCATCCAGAGTCTTATTCTCTTCACTTACACTGAAATCCTCCTCAATTGGGAAGCATGTTAGCTCCGGATTTGAACTCAAACTTTTCTCCGAATTTCCTGAGTGTGACGACAATCTTTCCCATAGCTTCCCAGCAGGAGATGCATAATGATTTCCTGAATGCCAACCAAATCGTGCACCAGAATATGGTAGAAAATCAGAATATGGCATCACTTTAGATGCATTCACAACACTGTCATCAAATCCAAACTGTTCGTCAACATTTATATTCAAAGGTAAAGTGCCCAACCGCTCAATAAGGCCACTGGGTTCAGATTGAAATAAATCTTGGGTTCCCTGAAACTTGAAACAAGATGAGAAGTGGGACAAACGTGTATCTGTGCTAGCAGATTTGCATATATGTGCCAGAATACTGGCACGTTCAATTGTAGTCCTAGAGAGGTTCAGTTTGTCGAAGTCTATTCCATCACCAGCAATGTTCACTTCTCCCTTATCTTCTTGTGCATCTACAATAAATCCCTCCAACACAGGCATAGTTTGATCGACATCAACAAAGTCCAGGTCTTTATCATTAGGAGAAGGAACTGAGCATTGTGAAAGTAGCCTGTCCTCTCCCTGATGGGAATTTCCTTCAGGAAGGGTGTTCTCAAAACAAGCCAAATTTGCAGAATTTGGCAGATCAAAATTGTTATCAAGAGGTAACAAGTGTTGTCTACTTTGTTCATCATGGGGTTTCGTTACATCTAAAAAGTTGCTACCCAGAGATGGAGTTCTCACTTCCTTAGCCAAGCATCCTCTTGTGCCTCTAGCATCATCTTCAGTTGAACTCAAGACAAGGGATGCCCCTAACTGTTTGTGATCGATAGCAAAGGAGGACTTTCTACGTTTACTCTCCTCTTCAAAATAACATGTGCCCTGCATAGACATTGACGTGAATGGAGCTCCTGCATCAGAAAGCTAAAAGAGCTACCTGGGAAAACACGATATCCAAGGGAGATTTGTTTCTAGAGACATCAGATCTTCTGCTAACAAAAGTTGACTTCCAGTTACATGATAAGGGAGGAACCCTAAATGATATTTCACAGTTTCAATTCCATACTAAATCAAAGAGCCACTTAGTCCAAACATGCATATTAAAATCTCACACAATCTCACAAAATGCACATTGGCAAATAAAATAATTAATCAAACAGGAGGCTAGCAGCCGAGGGTGTTTTGTTGAACATGCTTAAATATTTATTTCACATTCCCTATTTCCCCATCTTTATGTAAAATATATAAAGCTATTTATTTACTTCCATTAAATTTCTACACAGCTGAAGATAATATAAACTGGTAATTTAAGTGCCCTCGTATTCCAGGTATAATTATGATTACAAGTTACATTCGCTGAAACATATGCAATCTGATTTCATTTATTTGCCTAGACATTGAGGAAAATTACAGACAGTTCACTATCATAGATGAGAAAGGATACAAAATAATTATTTTAGTAGATAGTTGACCATCATAATCAATTTGACAGCACTTGCAATCTGATTTCTGTTATTTGTCAAAACCATGAGATAAGATCTTCATAAAATCTAGATTCCAGAAGTCCCAACTGAGAACCTGAAAGCTAGATATGCTATGCAATGTACTATAACACATATATCATTATAGAAAATCAGAGTCAAGCTTTAAGAGCTTCATGAAGAATTTATACTAATATCCAGCAAACTGTGCTACAAAAAGAAGCCCTGATAAAAATACTTTAAAAAAAATGTCTTCTTGCACTGCATCCAGATATGTCGAGCAACATGTGAAAGGAAAGCCTTGCTTTCCAGTCGAATACATAACATGGGCAATCAGGCTTAATCCTGTGCCCTGAAGCGGGATATCTATCTAAATATATAAAAAAATCATGGAATAATAGAAGAATATATACCTTGATATTATGAGACTCAGGTGCCGACTCAATGACTTCCATCAAATTCCTGTCTTCGTTAAATGCATCCGCCAAGACAGCATCACCTTTGGTTTCAGCATTCTTCAAACATGAAGTTGTAGAGTCCGGTTGAATGCAGTTAGGCTTTTGTACCCTAAAACTTGGGGAAGTGGTAAAACTATTAGTTTGCCGATCTTCAATCTTTCTTCTCTTAATCTGTGGCCATGAGCGCTCTTTGGCAGGCCTGAATCTTCTTTCAGGTGGTGAGTGCTTCTTCGTGATTTGAGGAGCACTTGAAATATTGATAATTTCATCTTCACAGTGCAAAGACCCAAATGAATTACATGTTAATAATCCATTTTCTCCATGAAGTGGACTCCTGTCCAAGTCTCTCTTGTCACAAGACAAATTGTGCTCACGTTTAGTAGAAACTTCACCATCCAGGAACGAGAAAATTTGAGTCTCCCGAAGAGGAAGTCTCCTTCTTTCATCAAGGACAATGCAGGTTGAATCTGCCGTTCCATCATTCCCTCCTTGAGGTAGACTCCCATCCAAGTCTCTCCTGTCGCAAGACAGATTGTATGCATGTTTAAGTTGCTTTTTTTCGTCAAGGACAATGCAGGTTGAATCTGCCCTTCCAACTTTCTCGATCAAGCAATCTTTGGACTCTCCACTTGCCTGGTTGGTTGAATTTGACAAATAAGATGGCCGAACATTTTGGCTGATAGAGACATGGTATCCAGATGCACCCTTATCCTTGCCTTTGTAATTATATGCACCCTGTCAAACCATTTGGAGAGTTTAACACTGAACTGACGTAGCTCTTATACCAGTGGACATTTTTCCAGTAAACAGGAATTTACTGAAAAGGCAATAAGGAACCAAATAGAGGTGCACGAGTATAAAGGAAGGCTACCAACATACAATCCGTCAACTCCTTATCAATAATTTTCCGCGTGCATGTTTGTGTAGAAAAAATTTACTTGCCCCTAAGTTTTGGGCTAAATGTGAATTTGCTCTGGGAGGAAATAGGCACATCCAACCTATTCATAAATATTTTTTAGTTAAAGGCTTACCAAATTTGTACTGGATTAAAAGAACAAAAAACAATACTATGAGTATCCTGACCATTGCACTCCCTGCAATTTCAATCAAGCCATCCTCACTAACATGCAGAAGATTGATTGAACAACAACCAAAATGGATAATCCTATTTCCACATATATCATAGGCTGCTAAAAACATCGCAGTAAATTTCCACAACATACCTACCACTTATATCTTATTATCAGCTGAATGAGTCCAAGGTTCATATTAAATAAGTGATTTTACTCTACATCTTTTACAAACTTCTGGGAATCAACACCGGGAATAAATCAAAGACCAAATGAAAAACAAAAAACACTCAGGTTAGCTCAAACCTCTTGGGGATATTATAGAGGCCTTGTATGAAGTCTTTCTGAATGTTTGTATAACAACAATTAGTCATATTGACAAAGGTTTTCATCCATACGAATTTCAAGAAAGATATGAGGGTGTGTTTGATTGGAAAATTTTAAATGGAAAATGGCCTTTTTCCATCCAAATTCCAACTTTTGGAGTATATGATTACCCTTTTTTTTCCAACCTTTGAAAATATGCCCAATTTTCCTTGTTTTTGAGGAAAACACTTTCTTTGGGGGTGTAGGTTTTTGTTTTGGCTTATTAGCATTAGTGTGCAAAACGTCCCAACGTTTCATTTTTTTGCATTTTTGCCCCNCAAAACAAGGAAAACATTTTCTCTTATAGGAAAGATTTTCCATGCTAATCAAACGTACCCTAAGTGTCTAGGGTGTTAGATCGAAGTTGGATTTTTTTCTATGAAGAGAAATATCGAAAGATAATTAACTAAAAAATCTATCTGCAAATAGGCTAGCTAACTCACTCAAACAAATGTGCACGTGTATGCGTACATGATACAAATTTCGCGTTGGTGGGAAAAAGACATATGCATGAACTATATAGGGTGAGCATTAAAATAAGCGAAAGAGAACATTAGAACTTACATTTTCAACGAGCATATCTGGTGAGGCATCATGCCCTTGGTTCGAATTAAGTTTCGCATGAGGGATCTCTATATAAGGTACAGCATTTGATAAGAAAATATCTGCCTTCTGTAACATTTGAGAGTTTTCAATTTGCACCACAGCCCCAAGGTCATTTTCAAAACTCATAGACATAGGGTGCTTACTCATTACCGATCTACCTTTTTCCGTCAACTAGAGTTTAACGGTCAACTGTACAGATTCAATAGAACCCCTGCAATCTTCCTTTCCTTTGTTTGAGACCTCCAATGTTTCTAATGACTTCTTATGTGAAGATAATTGGTTGATATCACAAGAAAAATCTTTATCTAGTGATAGTTCATGTTCTAACAAAGAACAACATATATTTACTGGTGAGCTGTCAAGTATTATCTTTCTTGGAATAGAAGTGGAGGTTTCATTTGAGTTGTTCTCTTCCATGTCATCAAAATCAAGTTGCTTTGGCTTCACAACCATAAAACAATCAGAGGGAGCCCGTGCAACAAGACACTCCAATTCTCTTCTTCGCTTGGCGTCACTAAGACTGGAATTCACAGACTGTTCTCCAACAAGATCAAGTGAAACAAGGTCATTAGCCACAAGAATTTCAGCATTCCCCTTCAAGGGAACAACATCATGGGTTTCACCACAAGGCAGGACTATTTGACCACCTGAAGCATTCTGATCATCTGTGCCCCCCTGACCAGAACTATTAGATCTATTGACAGGGTCTGTTATGCTTTTGTCACCCGACCTAGTCTGAGACATAGTCACTCTACCAACCAACCCAACAGAAGTTTCAACCAACCCCAAAACCTCATTAGATACGTTAAGATGTTCCATTGATGAGCCAACTGTCAGAGCAAGCATTCTACAATCGGCCTTGGCAGAGTGAGAAGGCAAATCCAGATCCGCACCTATACCAGGATTCTGTTGACCAGATCTGCTGAATCTTGTGATCCTATTGCGGGAAAGATCAGCGCTCTTTTCCTTGTGCCTTTTCCCATCTTCTAACATTGATTCTCGGGCCTTGAAACTTTCGGTAGGACCATTAGAAGAACTAATTGATACAACTGACCCATTAACATAGTCTATGTGTAACTTAACCATGGGATCTACTATGTTATTATCCATCCTGTCAATATCATCAGAAGAGAAATTTGTAATCGAAGAATCATTAGCATAACATTGAGGTTTACCAGAACTCCTAGACCTAGCATGTGCACTAGTGTGAGAATTGATATGTGTTTCCTTGCTTTGACAATCTCTTTTATCAAGTTCCATTTCTCCACAACTTTGACAACTGCTAGCAAATGGTTCGGCCATCGAAAACTCATTAACACGGTCATCCTGCATAGAAACATATATAGACCTTGATCTTGTTTTGCTTGCTTTGGCGTCATCACAGGAACTGCCTGCTTCAGCATCGGCAGTAGAATCACTGACAAAAGTTGGGACTTCGTTAGAACTTCTAGACCTAGTAGTTGTACCAAGGTCAATATTCATCCCCTTTTCCTTGCTTTGACAATTTGCTTGATCCAAATCCCAGTCCCCATAACTTTGGCGATTGATATCGCGGGGTTCAGCCAATTTTGAAGCCTCGTCATTCTGATTGGAAGCAGAAATAGATAATCTAATGCTGCTAGGAGGAACATCGCTGTCATTCTCATGGCTTAAGCAACTCTTAGCTTGTGCCTTTGCACTGCTCCGATGCTCAAGAGCCTGTTGTCTAGACTTTGACCTCTGAAATCTAGCTAGTGATTGATCTGGTGCATAATAAATATTTAAAAGCATTTCATCTGTCTCGTCCACAGGCGAGGTACTGATAACATCTAGCTCAGGAAGCCCATTTGGGGTACACTGAGCACGATTCTCATTGCTGACAGTTGCAACCATTGGCGCATCCTGTGCCTTGAAACCTTTTTCCGTGAAAAGTCCATCAGAAATCTCTCCATGATTTTCTCTGACTAGGTTTTCGTACAGGGAGAAACGATCAGTAGAGAAACCAACTCCAGGTTGGGGATGTGGAAGTAGAAGTTCAGAAATCAGCTCTTCTTTATTCAGCTCTGCAATAGCAAAATACTTTAAGATAATTACATATTGCTGTAACTTACAGATTATGCAAAATACTTGGGAGAAAATCCATCAATAAAAAGTAAACTTGTTAATGAGAACAAACAAAAAGCACGGCAACATTTTTTATATTGCAAGGAAAATATGGGCTTGTGTGGGAGGGATTAAAATTGAAAATATAGCGTTATTGTTGACTTTTATTAGACGAGTGGGGTCCAATAACGGCCATATTTTCAATTTTAATTGGCTTTTAATCCCTCCCGAACGGGGCCTATAAGAAAACCTGCTCTGATTCTAAGAGTTTTTAGGGGAAAAATATTAAAAATATTTCAAAAGCTTAAGAAATTAATGATCAACAATTAATGTCCGCAGATAACATCTTCGTAAGCAAGTGGCTGGGGGTTGGATGTTATGCTGCAGCAGTTTTATCCGCAAGTACAAGTCAACTTTTCAATGTTTTGCAGTTAGCTTCAATAATCTTACCTAGCTCTTGCAGGGCATAGACGGCTGGATCATTGTCATTTCTTAAAACAAGTTGACAAATTTACCGCATACAAATTACTATAATCAAAAATCAAAAGAAAAATAATAACATTCTACGTTCCTTGGGCTTGATTTGACACGTGCTAGGTTCTTCCAACATCTATATCATAAAGTGACTCGAATAATTTAAAGACAATGAAGTAAATCCTAGGGCTAACAAATATGAAATTAATTTGGGGGCACCTTTTGGATCTGAGAATTCGGTAGGGTTCCAAAGCCAAGGAGGAGGGGTAATCCCATCAATGAGGAGTTTAGAAGTAAGGTGTTGGTTGTACAATTCCGTTCGCTGCTTGACTAGTTCGATAATCCCATTCTTCCGCTCGAAGATCTGCACCAACAGCTTCTCCACCGTCGTCGTCATCTTCTTATTCTTCTTCACACCGCCATTCGCTTCATACAATAATCCATACGCCAATATACTGATTATTACTGCTATCGAGTAAAATTCTACAGAAATCAAATGTGTGGGTGTGACCGTTGGGTGAACGGTTACGAGCGCAGATGGGATTTCAAATTTTTTACCGTGTGAAATGAATTAACAATTGTAACGAACAGGATGAATAATGGACCCGGAAATGTGGGGCGGGTCGGATGTCGGCCCGCTATAGCTTGGACTGATTTTCAAAGGGGAAAATTAGGCTCACCGCCCTAAAAAAAAAATTAGGCCCTCTACCCTAAAAAAAATACATTATTGATTAATACCCTTCAAACTAAATAAAATTATAATTACCGTATTAATTACTTCCAAACCTCAAAATACAGAAAACCCAAACCAGAAGGAGGAAGCCGGTGAATTAGAAAACCCCGAGACACCTTCGTTCCCAATTGAATTTGACTCCAATGTTCTTGTAAGGAAAAAACCTCACAAACAACGTGAAGAAGCTGCTTGAACCAACAAAGATGAAAACTCCAAGGCTGACCTTGAGGCGGGAATACTCTGTTGGAAATCAATTCCAATTCGGGGGTGTGTTTTGACTTGGTATTTTTTACTTTTTGTGTTTGTTGCTATTGTTTAGGAAATAAGTTGGATTTTTCTATTCTAGATTTGAAGTTGATCTAGTCTATACAGATCATACCCACTAAGTGTTTGTTATTATGTGTCAGAGTCTTGCAAAAATATTAAAGAGTAGTGGTCACGTGTTTGTTTTATCCATACAAAGAGAAATCTATCCCACAAGCTGAATTCTTCTCCAACTACTGTTGCTCTTCATTCTTCAATGTTGCATTGGCTACGACAGGCTTGGCTGCAACATTCCTATTATGGCCTATCACAGAACAACTTCACCACACAAACAATATCCATTCCAATCTCAATTATGATTGTCCAATTGCTAAGACTGGTCTATTCGGTGGTAGTGCACTCTTATCCCTCAACGCGAGCCTTTGCTGGTTGGTGTCTCTGATGCTTGCTAACCATGTGCGTGAAGACTACTTCGAAGAAAGTTTGAGTTGAAGTGTAAGCTTTTAAGGATCATTCGACAGATGTTTAGCTTTAGATGCAGCCTCTCATTCCAAATTCAAAAATTGCAAGTATAATGACAAATATTTTATTTATATGGTGATAGATGTTGTCTATTGTTGACAAATTTGGTGGGGTCATGGATCATGTTAGTGGTTTTACATGGTACTGTCGTGCGAACTTATTTACAAATTCGGTGGGTTAATACCCTAAATAGTCACCGAATTTTATTTTTGTCACTTTTTTTTTTAATTTCATCACTCTTGAGTGTTTGTTACTTTTTTTTAATTTGTATCACTCTTTTTAAAATTTTCGTCACTTTTTTGAGTGTGTCACTTTTTTTGAATTTTGTCTCTTTTTGAGTGTTTGTCACCTTTTTTTATGAGTGATGCTACGTGTACACAATGGTGTATACACGACTTTACACCCCCCACACATAATAAAATATTTTTGGGACCCCCTCAATGTGAGGGAGGTGTAAAACTATGTGTACACCATACATAGCATTTTTCTTTTTTAATTGTCTGTCATTTTTTTAATCTGTGTAACTTCTTTTAATTTGTGCTACTTTTTTTAATTCATCACTTTTTTTTAGTGTTTATCACTTTTTCAGTCACCTTCTTGATTTCTATCACTTTTTTAGCGAGAAACATCAATTTTTAATAAAAGTGACATTTAACTTTAAAGTGACAGTGCGACACTTTTTCTATTAAAAAAAAGTGACAATAATTTTACACGGTATTTTTTACTTCCAAAACATGTTTCATATTAGGGCTGCACAAAAAAATCGCGAAATCACAAACCGAACCGAAGTCGTTGGTTTGGGTCCCGCGATTTTTTCTCAAACCGAACCAAACCGTTTCAAAATGATTTAGTTTAGGTTTCAAATTTTAAAAATCGCAAAAAATAAAACCAAACCGCACTTTTTTTAATTAAAAATTTTTTTATTAAATTATAAATTCTCATATAAATTCTCAAACCAAATTTTTTTTTTTTTTAAGTAATATGCTAACTTTCAGTCCAAGGATAAAGCCCAAACCATACCAATACCCACTACCCTAATGTAAACGGCCCAAGCCCACTACCCAGCCCAATCCAAAAAATTAAAAACATCAGGGTTCCAGCCTCATCCACTGACCACTCATCCAGCATCAATTTCATTGATTTCAATTCATTTTCCATCGACCTCCGCCTTCGCCTTTCCTCTAGCCAGCCTCCATTTCTTTTCTTGATTTTTGACTTGCAGAACGGTGCGGCTTTGCTAGAGTTAATGGTAAGTTATATTCTTGCTTGGTGATGGTTAGATTTCTATGCTTGTTGCTCTGAACCCAAACAGTCTAGGTCGATCTTGTATAAACCAGAATAAGAGTTTCATATATGATTATAATCCACTCTGATGAAACTGAAGTTAAAATATATTAGTAATTTTTGTGCATAAGTTGATAATTTCTGGAAGATTTTGTGTTTTTCTCTGTTTAGAATTTACAAAAAGATTTATTCAATGTTCAAAACAAAGTGACGGGGGTAGCATTTGGGAACAGGTCATTTTCCAACTGCTTGCTTCACCTCTGCCTAGGACCTTAGCAACACTGTGCCAATCACCACTGTTATTTCTAATTTATTGACTCCACCCGGCATAAATATATAACCCTATGTTGATACTGTTGGTGACTAGAGAAGTGATGATGGTTGAGGTAGTGGACATAACAAATTGTTCAAAAAGAAGTTAGAGAACATATTACAAGGTACTTCATATTGTCTGAGTTATCGTTTCGACATGTGGAGGATGAAGGTTTTTAGGGTTATACAAGATATTTTTTTTCCTAAAATGTGTGTTTCCTTCGAGGATGATAGTAGCAAGCGATATATATAATTTGTTCCTAAACGAGAAGAAGAAATTGAAGAAAGAGTTGAGTCAGCATATAGTTTCTTTGACTACTGATTGTTGGCCGTCAATAGTCTTACAATCAATAAACACAAATTAATGAGTAACCCAACTATTACTAACCTATGAAGTAAAAAGGAATATAAGTTTCATTCAAGTCTCAAGCCACAAGAGAGATATGGAGGGAAAGGAGTTGATTTCTTATCTTAAAGATTGGGGAATCAATAAGATTTTTTGTGTGACTGTTGATGATGCCTCTTCCAACGATGTAGCATTACTGAGATTGAAGAGTTGTTTTGAGAAGAAGAAGAATGGTTTAGTACTGGGCGGAGAAATGCTTCATATGAGGTGTTGTGCTCATATACTCATTTGTTTGTGATGGCTTGAAAGAAATAAGCCATGCTATTTCAGATATTCGTAATGCGGTGAGATTTGTTAGATCTTCCCCAAAACGACTAAAAAGGTTCGAGGAGAGTTGCAAGGAAGCAAATATTGAGTCTCGAGTTTTGTTGTATTTGGATGTTACGACTAGATGGAATTCCACATACTCGATGTTGCAAGCTGCTACAAAGTTTAAAAAAGCATTTGTTGTTTTTAGTGATGGCAAAAAAATCCCCGCCCCGCCCAGAATGGGACGAAAAGAACCCGCCCCGACGGGTTTGTGGGGTGGGGTGGGGGGGTGGAGAGGGGGTACCCAGCCTCGAAGCGCCCGAACCCGCCCCCTGAAGAATAAAAATAATAATTAACTACAAATTAAAAACAAAAAATAGTTAATTAGAAGTTTTTGAAAAAAAAAAAATATAAACGGGGCAGGAAGCGGGGCAAGTCAGCTCCCCGAACCCGCCCCATCTAAGGTGGGGCGGGGCGAGACGAGGTGGGGGAGTGGAGGGGAGGGGTGCCCCACCTCGAACCCGCCCCGTTGCCATCTCTAGTTGTTTTGGAAAGCGGTGGAAACTATAAAAATTATTTTAATGAAGACAGGTCTGATGGAAGAAATATAAATGGACCACCAACACATGTCGATTGGGATCGAGCAGAAGTATTTGTTAGGTTCTTGAGGATTTTCTATGAAATGACTTTAAAATTTAGTGGCTCGAAGTATGTGACTCCTAACTCTTTCTTTGAAGAAATATGTGAAATTCATGTAGAGTTGAATGAATTAGCTAAAGAGTTTAACACTTTGATGGGAACCATGGCAATTAGTATGCGGAAAAAATATGATAAGAATTGGGGCCATGTTGAAAAGTTTAATCAGTTGTTGTTCATTGCAACGGTTCTTGACCCAAGATGCAAATTGGAACTTCTTAAAGTCGGGTTTGAACTTATTAATGATGTAGAAATTGTAAAAATGTTGTTAAGAAGAGTTGAAGAGACACTCCACAGATTGTATGCGTGCTATGAAGATATGGCGACTCCAATCACTTCACCATCAGCTTCATCAAAGGAGGCTACCAAAAATAGTAGTCCAAGTCCTTCATAACCTGCTTTTGGTCTTTCTAAACAGATTCCTTCTATTTTTAAAGCTAAACTTATGCAAAACGTGCATTCTGAGAAGAATGATTTGGTTGATTATTTGTCTGATTGTTGTGAAGATTTGACCGATCCCAAATTTGACGTATTAGTTTGGTGGAAATTGAATGCGCACAAATACAAAATTGTCTCTAAAATTGCCAAAGATATATTAGTAATTCAAATATCTACGGTAGCTTTAGAGTTGGCATTTTCCACGAGTGATCGGATTCTTGACTCCTCTAGGAGTTCGTTGAGTGGAAAAATGGTTGAGGCCTTAATATGCACGAAGAATTGGTTGCATATTAGCAATGAACCTATAGTGCTTTGTCAATATTTGGATGAAGTAGAAGCATTGGATGACTCTGAGAAAACTGTGGAATGAGACATTTATTTTCTATTATCAATTTTGATATTATATGCCATTGTTTTTTAGTTGCTTGTTAATGATACTAAAGACCAATAAATATTTTGATATTTCCATATCATACAGAGGTCGAATCATGTG